AAATCAGAGAATCCTACTGTTCTTTAACCGACATAAGTAGATTCTTTAAAAAAATATATGTGTTTTTATTCTTGCACCAAATTGTATTCATTCGTTATGACTAATAATATCGGGAAATAAAGTTATGATTAAATAATAAATCTCTAATAATATATTTTAATTAATCATAATTAAAAAATAAAATATCATTAAATAATTGAATTAGTTATAAATTCTTAATAAAATAAATAGACAAGTTACTGAGAAGGGATTGAGTATGTTGATGTAAGGATGATCTGAAACTTTTGGTCTTAGGCGAAAAATGTTTGAAAATGGAATATTACCTTAGTGTGAAAATGACTATGAAATGAATAATTGACTGCGAAATAAGTTTGACTATGCATATCAGTATATGTGAAAGTGAAAGCAATAAATGATTCCAAAATTAGACAACATTTTTAAGTACAGTAGTATATCATCTGACACGGTTTGTCAATTCGAGTAAAAATTCACAATTTCAAATAAACAGTATAAATCCACTTAATTATTTATAAAATAAAAATAAATACAAAAGCAGTTTAAGTACAAATATTTTGAAAGCTTGTTTCAACTACACATGTATATAGAGTTACGTTCAACATGAAAACACTAGTTAATTTTTGCACTCTCTACCAAGCTAAGGACTTTGGCCACAAAATCCAAGAACTCAATGCCAAAACCTACATTCAGGGGGTTTGCGGTTCGGTTTGGTCAATTTTTTATTAAAATCAAAACTAAATCAATTTAATTAATTTTTAAAATTTTAAAATTAAAATCAAACCAAATTAAATACAAACCATCGGTTTGGTTATTGTTGGTTTGGTTCGGTTTGGTTCGAATTTTCGGTTCTTAATAAGTTAATGATAAGTCGATAATAGTAAAACGATACTATACAATAATATTTTAAGTACTACTAGAGCATAAATTCAAATACCTACAGTGATAGTTCTTTTAACTATTTATATTTAAAACTGTAGCATATAATATAAAGCAGAGTATTAAAATTGTAGCAATAATATAAGATAGAAAATTATACCCGGTGAACTAAGTTGAAGTACATGATAGAATCAAAAGAACAAGCCAAAATAAAGGTTCCAAAGTATAAACAACTTTGTCCATTTAAAAGTAAAAATTATGTATTTAAACTAAAAAAAGAATGATACAATCCATAATATCATATTCAATTTGAGTAACTTTTTTTTGACTTTTGTGATAGATTTTTTTGTAACTCTTCTGATAGGCAAAAGTAGATAGGGTTAGAGAATTTGAGTCTCTTAAGGAAAAGAAATTGGCCAATTTTTATTACTTTGGGCTTAGGCAATCTTTTAAGATATAAGTAATATAAACCAAAATTTATATATAATAATTAAAATACAGAAAATATTTAAAATTATTTACAAAAAGATATGATACTTTATATAAATATTTATTAAATTTTATATATAATTTATCGGTTTGGTTCGGTTTATTTTTTGATTTTTTATAATAGAACCAAAACCAAACTAAATATTATCGATTTTTAAAATTTAAAATCAAAACCAATCCAAATCAAGAAAAATATCGGTTTGGTTCGGTTTTCGGTTTGGATCGATTTTTTTGTCAAACCATGATCAGCCCTACTTACATTTCACTGTTTCAGTCCATTGTATCTTTTTTTTCACACCGACTAATTCTATTCTATTGCTTTCTCTTTGAATAAAGATTAATGACAGGTAAAAATTACTCTCTCGGGTCTAGTTTAATTGATTTTCTCAGTTATTTTCACACATATTAAGAAATTTACCTTTTAACATTAATTAATAATAAAATTAACCATATTAACCTTAATTTGTTCATTAGAAATTTAACAAATACTTCTAGACTCTTTACTCCAAGAGCAAGTTTAGAAAAACAAGTTAATTTTCTAATATTTGAAAAAATTAAATATTATGGACCACAAAAAAACTTAAAAAATTAATTAAAGTAGGTCGGAGGTGAGGGAGTAACTGTTACTAGTAAGAAGACTACTTTATAGGGAGTTGGAATTGAGGAGATTAATTAATAGATGCAAAACCAACTTGGAATTTACTAACTTTTTGTGGAAAATGAAGGCCGCGTTACTTCCTTGAGTGAGGGAATATTTTTTTTTTTTTTTTTT